GGCCGCGAGGGGCGCTGGGGCTGCCCCCGCTTTGTGCCCTGGGCCGCGGGGCGCCTCCCGCGCGGGGCTTCGTGCGGCCGGGGCTTTTGTTCGGCGCGAGCGCGGGCCGCGGCCTCGGGCGTGCGGAGCCCCTGGCCGGGGCGCGGCCCGCCCGGCCTGGCTCGCGTGAAGCGTCCCGCGCTCGGCCTCCGTTTCCGCTGAGGCTGGCGTAGCGCCGGCACAAACGGGGAGAAAAGGGCCGGAAGGGCCTGAGCAGCGGAGGAGGGGAGATGTGAGGGAGCGTGGTGGGCAAAACGTCAGGGAACGGCAGCGCGGGGGCTCGTGGCACACGGGGCGTGCGGTGTGCGCCTGCACGGAGCCCTTCCTGAATCCCAGCCCCTGGGAACAGGGTGTCCCGCAGCGCAGGTGCAGGTGAGACGCCCCACGAGCGGAAACGGGAAGGGAGACCTCCAAGGCGAAGCCTGCGCTGTTTCCTTGGCTAAGGCAGCGTGTGCTGGGCTGGGCTCCTGTGCCCTGACGTTCGGCCTGAACCTCGGCTGCTCCAAGGGTTTCTGTGGAGTATTCCTGAGGTTTGGCCTCCCAAGGCCGAGCCTAAGGTACTTAAGGTGCTCCTAGGCAGACCTGGTAAAAATGCCAACTTCTTGCTTAAACTGGTTGGCCCCAGACCGAAGCGTTTGGGAGCCCTGGACTTTTCCACAGTGGTATTGGAAAAGATTTAAGCGTTATCCTTAGCGAGTTAAAATCTTAAAAACTATAATTTAACGTGGTAAAGTCAGTCGAGTTGAATTTGATGAGATGGAGAGACTTGAAGACTTCAGTCATGAATAGGGGAATCAATATTCTTTAACCACTAATGCCAGCCTTAATTTAGAAGAGTTTGTGTACCCTTGTCAAGTAGTAACCAGTTGAGAGAAACACTGGTGGATCTAGCCCTTAAAGTGCCAGTAGAATGAACGTAAAGTAGGAATGAGGATGAAATAATGACATTAGCTGGAATCAACCTTGAACCCTGTTGTTGTGGGGAGGTAACAGTCACTAAGGCTTCAGTGGCAGGAACAATAACTGTGCAGGGAGGAAGGGGAGTGGCCTTTCCTGCTTGCGGGTCATCCCCCAGTGATGCAATAGAAATCCTACAAACCTTAGCAGCATTTAGTGGCCTGGCAGGTTGGGCTGGCTGTTTCTTGCATTTAAAAACTAGTGTCCTCTTTTTAATTTCATATGTTTTTTTAATTTCAAAGTCTACTTCCTGGATTTTTGAATTGGCATCTGAGCATTTCTTGTATCCAGCTTTGAGATGGTTGCTGCTGATTCCTGTGGTCACAGTGGGAGGAGGACCCTGTAGACCTTGTTACTGAATTTGGACTATTCAGAGCTGTATAAAAGCTGTTTTTAAGTTGAATGGTCACTGGGTTTTGAGAAGGTTTGAGGAATCTTCATTGATGATATTGATGCCTCTCAAGATGCAAAACATAGAGCTGCTTTGTTCATTGCTCTTCTTGAACACTGTTGCTTTGCTTTGCAGTATTTTAAGAAACCTACTTTTACTTAGCTCTTCCTGTCCGTTCTTGTATGTTGCAGAACTAAATTTCAGTGAAATTTCCCTGGTAAAATGTGGAAATCTCTAGCACCGTGGAGGAGGTTTATTCTTACAAGAAAAAAGTTGCTGGATTGTAAGAGTCCTTCCATGGTTGTAATATGACCTAGCAGTTTGGTTTGCTTTGAGAATAACTCCAGTGATTTGGCAGGTTCCTCAGTACTAGTGGAAGCCTATGATGGTTTTAGGGTCACTTAACAATTTTGGACTCCTCTGTGCATATCTGTTCTTTACACTTCGTTCTTGTGAAGACATTCACAAAACTGAGATTAAGCTGTGAGTCTTCAGCATGGGATGGAGCTCAAGAGTGTCTGAGTTGCTCGTGGTTTCAGTTGCATCTGTTAGATGCAGATGCTCAAATTCAGGTAGGATTGGAGACCCTTGCAAATGAAAAGGTGGATGTGCTACATTTAAGTGCTGTCTTCCATGATGTTCCTGCATGCCCTCTGTGCTCTGGTTTTCAAGGGCAAACCAGGCATGGTCTTACTTGAAGAGTTTGTATTCCCTCTTCTCAAACTTCATTTAGGTCAGTAAAATCATCTTCCCAAGAATTCTGGTGTGGCTGACAGAAAAGCCTTGTTTTCTTCAGGTGAAATGCAACATAGAGCTTAAGAGCAGTAGAGTGAAGGGAGCGTGTGCAGCTTGTGGCTGGGTATAGGATGCTGAGGGGTTTTCCAGGTGAATCTTTTCCTAAAGAAGCAGGAGACTGAAGGTCAATCACCTTGTTCTCTCTCATATAGAGCAACCTGTGTCTTGGTCTTGCTCACTCTAGGTGAGTACTTGAGGCCATTTGCTGTCATTTCCTAGAAAAACTTTGAGTAACTTTACCCAGAAGTGCATATTTTAAAAGCATTTCCTGTCAAACATTGTGGGAATCTTAATACCCAAACTGATTAAGTTCACATTTATGGGGTTTCCGTCCTGTATAACAATCTCAGTTGGCTCCACTGTGACCAGCAGCTGTGAAACTAATAGCTCACAGATTAATTGCACTTTTCCTAGATGAATTTTTAATGCTGAATCTGTTAAACTTTCACTTAATTCTGGTGCATAATTGAGTTGTCTGACTAAAAAAAGAACGTTGCCTTTCTGTTCAGCATTTTGGATTTCTGTGGCAGTTTCAAAATGAAAAAAAATGTGAGGAAAAATGAATGCACGCTGTATAGCTTTAAACTATGCAGCGCATAGTTACTAGGCAGTAAATGCATTTCTGTCTTTCAGTTTGGTAGAGGTACCAAATTTACTGTGAATATTCTTCAGGCCTCTTGTTTTAATTATTTCATGGCTCAGTGTTAAATCACTTGCTTTAAGATGCATTAAGAAGCATAGGAAAAGATTAAAAGAAATAAAAACAGTATAGCTTGCTTTAACTCAAGGTTAAAATTAGCAACCAATGTTGCCCCATCCCACTGTGTGAGCTCAGTGTTTCCTAAGAGTCTCATAATTAGTTCTGATCCTCCTAACTGAAATAGTTTTGTCATCTCTCCTCTTCTCCACCTACCCCCCCCCCCAAAAAAAAAGCACAACCAAAATGACAACAAAGGTGGGAGCAGAGAATTCCAAACCTGTAAGGTTGTGTGATGAGGAAAGCTTGGATGATCTTTGAAATTTATTCAGATGACTTGTAAACTGACCAGGATATGCAGCTAGGTCAAATCTAACATTCATGCAAGTCCTCTTGGGCTCATCCAAGTCTAGAGAGAGAAATTCATTTTTTACTTCAGTAGACAAACTGAAGTAAAAACCTAAAGTTTTGGGAAGACAGAGTAAACTCAGCAGTGCTCAGACATGCTTATCCTGGAATTTAGGAAGATTATATCCATGGTTATGGGTTTAGCTCATCCATCTCTGCGTCCATGGTGCTCTTGTTATGTTTTGCCTAATGCCTCTGCTGCTCTTGCTTGGAGAAGACCAGTTACCTGGAAACTCACGGGCAACCTGACATTCTTGTGTCCTGACTTTGAAGCCATAACCTGCGACTGGCTTGGGGGACCCTGTGGCATTCTCTTTCTGGGACAGCTCTGGTTATGGCCTCTAATACCAGTCTGGTATAACTGAAGACTGCTCTGCATCCACAGCTGTGCCTATAGCGGTGAGCTAATGCTCCTGTGTCATTAAGGGCTTGGGATGGCTGGTGTAGTCCAGCAGCTTTATCACGAAGGCTTGTGTCCCCAAGTAACTTACGTACATCTTCCTGGTTACCTGCCGAGGTTTGCTCTACTGCACCACAAGTGACGTGTGCCTGGCTCTGCGCCCTGTATTAAAGCAGGGTGCTGGGCTCCTGCTGGACGCACGATGCTCTCCCCTGGGTTAAGTGTAAGGTGTGAACGCGGATGCTGTGTCAGCTGCCCGGCTAGTTCTCAAGGGGGATGAGATGAAAGGCACCGTAGAGGCAGCGTTGGTCCTGGGGATGGGGCTCGCACGCTGATGCCTGCTATGGAGGAGATGCTGGACAGTTGTGTCCTCTTGCTCTGTGGGAAGTTGCTGTTCCATCTGTCTCCGAACTGGCCTTTCCATGCTACACTTGCTTTAGATTCCTTTCCAGCTGCTGAGCTCTCACGTTGGAATCGGGACATGGGCTGGAGGAAGGAGAACTGCTTATCTGTGATTCTTGTTCTGTGAAGATGACTCCTATGACACCTTGCCCAATTCTGCCCACACTGACCCTCTGTGGGAGATGTTCCTATTTTTGTTGTTGTTGTTGTTGTTCTGTTTTGTGTCTTTCTCTAAATGAAACCTAATTGGGACTCCTTAGTATTTTTCTTGCTTACAGTTAAACTGGCTTATTCTGTTGTCTACTTTAGGGAATGGAAAAGGAGACTTCAGATCTGTCCATAGATGTGTGAGTTTAAGCTGCCAACCAACCTCTGGGACTTCCCATCTAGCTCTGGACAGGAACTAGTTCCTCAGGAGTAGGAATCCATAAGAGTGGGTGTATTTAAGAGAACAAGAGTGGCAGATAGGTAATCTTCTCTCTTCTTTCCTTATAGGTTTGGAAGAACAGCATTCTAAGATACAGAGATCTGGACTTTTAAAGTGTACTGTCTAAAGAAATATAAGGAATTGAAACTTATTGCTTCCTTGCAGTTTATTTTATGGTATTTGTGCCTCTTGTTCTTTCTGTAGTTTTAGATCAAGAAACACCATGAGTACAGTAAGTATTTTACTAATTAGTATTTTACTAATCAATGCCAAACTGATTGTCGAACTATGTGGTTTTATGGTATCTCTATTTGTCTTTTTCTTTGAGAATTTGTAGCAAATGTACTGTAAGAGTCCATGTAACTTGTGTTCTGTGCTGCTTGTTTATTTTTTTTTAATCTTTCTGGGTACGAGCACTTTTTTCAAAAGTGCTTTCAGTGTGGGTAGACTCTTTAGTTCAGAGTGGTTGAGGTAGTTGGCAGGAAGCTGCCATCTGAGATACGTTTGAGCTAGTCTTCTCATTGGCAAAGCCATCCCACCTGTTTCTCCTTTGTGTCTCGTTTATGAAGAGATTTGTAGTGATGTCTTTTCCTTCACATGAGGAGCGGGAAAGATCCATCCCACAACTTTATGCATGAGACAGCCTCTTAGTGAAGTGTTTTATGTGTCTTTGCTGCTTTCCTTGGTGCTGCAAAAGTAAGGTTGATGTTTATGTTACTTCTAAAGCAAATTCTAAGGCTTTGTTCTCTCTTAGACTCAAAGAAAGCGCCGTGGAGGAGCAGTTAATTCTAGGCAAGCTCAGAAGCGAAACAGGCTGTTAGCATCTACCACAGAAATGGCTTCAGAAGCAGAGCCAATAGAACTTGAAGAAAGTGGTAAGTGCCCTTTTTTACCTGGGAAGAGAATAGTTTGCTTCTGGAGTGTTGGGCTTAACTTGTGTTTGTACCAATTGCAAAGCCTTTGGAAGGGCAAAAAATGGAAACCTAGTTATTTTTACAAGTGCCTGGTGAGGACTGTGTAAACAATCAGCTTATTGACAGCTGTGTAAGTTTGTTCCTGAGATGCGATGCATTGGCCACTTGTGCTAGATGAGTTAACAAGAGTGGTACATGAGTGCTGCCTGGTGGCTGTCTGGCCTGATGAGGTGGGAGGTGCTGCAGCTGCCATTGCAGATAGTGGCAAGCTAAGTATAGTAACTCCCCATTTTTAGGGTGATTAAATGGTTGTTGTTAGTCATGCTCATGCGAAAAGTATCAGCATTCTAGAGGCTTTTCTAATCTTCTAGATATTTAAACCATCTGCTAAAATCTTAGGAAAGGTTAAAAGTAATTGTTGGGCTCCAGGTAGTCATATGGCTTTTGTATTTTTTTGAGATCCATTTGAATGTAAAAGATGTAAGATGGGAACATTCACAGCAAAGCACTGGAAAACTATGTCTAATATGACTTATATTGCAGTACATAGTCTCCAAATTAGACAAATACTCTCTTGTGTTTTCCCCAGACTATTGACCTATGTGAGGAGATCAGCTGCTCTTTCCCTGTTGAGGAAAGCACTTAAGTGTAGCATATAATCCTGAAGAGGAATAGGGCACGGATTGAACCACACCTCAACTTGTTATATGGTGACAGTTCATTTTACTCTCCAAACTCTGATGTTGATTCTAACTTTGTGTTTTTAAGCTGGTGAAGAGGTAGTAGATCTCACATGTGAATCTTCGGATCCTGTAGTAGTTGATCTAACTCACAGTGATTCTGTTGTGGTAAGTAGTGATCTTCTCTAAGTTGTCAGATTCATTCTGTATTGTGCTTACTGGTAGAATTTGGCTTTAGAGCCATGCTAAATATTCCGTGCTTAAACTTGACTTGTCAATACATGAAACTCATGTGCTACAGGTCAGTACAGAAGCTTTTGGGAAATGTTACTTCACGGAGTGTTCTCAGGCACAGCCACCTGTTTTTCTTATGTTCCCCAGGAGCTGCAGATCTGCCTCTGTACTTTTTTTTTTTCAGTGCCTGTTTTTACAAGAATTTAGACTAGAGGTGATGACTTTTTTACTGTTGACACGATAATAAATGTTGTGTAGGGAAAACATTTGAGAATATAGGCCCCTTGCTTGAAGGTACCTGAACTGTACAGTGGCCTTGTTCTGATACTGCTTTTGGGGGTTTTGAGCAATGTAGCTTTTTAGACCATAGTCTAAATGTAGCTTTTTAGACCATATTTAACCTATATTTAAAGATTGTGCAGTGAAAGTAAACAGATGTATTGGATGTAGAAGTAAGAACAAGCTTGAAGGCTCAAGGCCGGCAAGATTTGCCTTTGTGTTATAGTTGACCAACGTCTGAGTTTCCAAAGCTCAGCTTTTGGGTGTCTTCTGACATTAAAATAGCCCAACTGAATTAAAACACTGGTTTTATTAATACTTTGGATTCATGTTCAATTCTAAAAGGACCTGTGAAGACATCTATTAATATCATTTGCAGATAAAGATCTAAAATAGAATATTGCTCCAAATACTGGGAAATGCATATACCAGACATGGATAACATGAATAGATAACATTTAAAATGGAAGTATTAAATGTCAAAGATGTAGGCCAATGATGTAAATAAAAACTGAAGGAGACAACAATTAAGTCGTTAAGTTAACAAATATGGGGTGTTTAGCTCAAATATGAGGTGTTAGCTGCAATGCCGATGTAAGGTACTCCTGTGACTGCAGTGCCCAGCACAACTTAGCTGATTATGTTAGAAACTAGTTCGGTTTTGTGCTCTGGTAAGTTCTCAACAACCAACTAACCAAAAAAGGAACCATGACATTTCTTTGTTACTGTGTTTCACTTTTTAAAGCAGATCAGTGTTTGATCTAGTCCATGTTGCTATTTATAGCTTCAGTGTCTGGAGCCAGAACCAGCAAGAAAAAGCTGGAATACAGGAGGAATGTCACATGCTGGAGCTACACCTGAGGCTTTATAAAGGAGAGAGAGAGGCCTCAAACTTCATGTATAACCCACAGTGCCCTACCTCCAGTTCCACCACTGTGTTCAGTGGAATGACTGTTCTCAGCAGTTGTTAAGCTAGTGGGATGTGTTTATGGCCGTGGCACCCAAGCTTGCCCCTTTGGCAGTGGGAAAGAAGCTCCTCAAGCCTAAGTCAAACTAGGCCGTTGATGTTGTGAGGTGGGGAGTGTTTAAGGTGATACCAATTAGTATTAACACAAACTGATGATCATAGGATATCACTTTGTTGTTTTGATGAAAAATGGTAGGAATAGTAAATAAGCTCAGAAAATAACTGATTGCCTTGTAGTTCTGCTCATGCAAAGAAATGAAATGGGGGTTGCTTAGCTGGTATTATTAACGGTTGGGGTGCATGCCAAAATGTAATTTTGTTTTTCTTTTCTCTTCCTTCCCGTATATATTACTGCAAGATTGTAGAAGGTGAGTTGACGCTTGACACAAGTTCTAAATGCTTTTTTTGTAATACTTTTTATAAGGTAAGCTAGCTGACAATCTGTTGACCAGTGTCTTTATTTTCTTTTTACTTTCCAACATTTACTTGAGCATCATGGATTGAAACTGGATTTACTTTAACATCATCTTTCCACTTCTGCTTTCTTGCCAGTAGGCTAGAAAAATGGATTCAATCTGTGTTACATATTTTATAAAATCTATAAAAAAACATCAGAATACTTTTCTTATTTTCCAGATGTAGAAGTTGTGCGAGCTCCAAGTTGACAGTGATATTAATTAGCACTTCTAGCAATGGAGTGTGTGCTTTGAATAAGAAAATGTTAAAAGGTTTTCTTAGCCTATATTACAGGGAAGGAACTAAAGTGGAAAGAGAATGAGAGTCGTAGCATTCACTTTCATTGTCTAGTCTAACACTTTCAAATCTAGTACTGTGAAATATTTAAAAAATTCTGCTTTGTGTTATAGCAATTATTGAATAGGCATGAAAAAATCAATCCTTTACACCTTTCAGGTCTTATTTTTCAGGCCTTGTTCTGATTAAAAGATCTGAAACTGTCTCGTGTGTTGTTTATTAGCTGTATTCTTGGAGGACATAATCCATTTTGGGCTCTGAATGAGAGGAGCAAGGGAAAACGCAGTGCTGGTATTAGCTGAATGCTTATGCAGAAGGAACTTTTAATTTTGTAGCTGCTTATGCAGTACTAATTGGTCAGTGCTCGGTTATTATATGAACACTAGAACTGCAAAAAAAAAAAGTTTTTATGTAATTTCTAATAGTTAACAAGCAAACAGAAATTCTTCAGCCTTTCATATTAGAAACCGGGCAATAAGACTGTTTACGTTCTTTCTCTACTCTTATCTTGGGCATTATGAACTCCATTTCCAAGTTAGGGTAACTTCCTTCTAGAGAAAGATGATGAAATGTCATAGGGAGACAGCTCTAAAGAAGTTGTAAATATCTTACACTTTTCCAGATAGTGTGTTGGGTGTGTGGGTGTGTGGTGTGTTTTTTTTTTTTTTTTTTTTTTTTTTTTTTTTTTTTTTTTTTTTTTTTTTTTTTTTTTTTTTTTTGTTAGACTCATTTTGTTGAATTACTTTTGTGTGAGGGACAGAAGGAGAAGGACATTTTGTTTTGGCCTGGTAACTGGATAGAGTAGCAAGAAACCAAATACAGCAACTGACTTATTTAATTTTTTAGGCTTAAGTCTGTCTTTCAGAACTCTATTGCTTCAAACGTTGATCATGACAGCTATTTATTTTAAACTTTGGTAATCAGAACAGGGCTGTTACGGAGTGCCTGTGCATGTAGTGAATAATCCCTGGGAGCCGCAACTGGCTGCTGGAAAATTGTTTTCCTACCCCCATGCACGTTTCCCCACCCCTTCCTAATCTCATGCCATGTTTCTGTCTACTTTTACACTTTTGCTTCTGTGCCACTTGGGAGAGGGTGTGGTTTTTTTTTTTTCTCTTTTGTGTTTTTAAAAAAAATTCAGTTTTGGTGGACATCTTTCTGGAATTCATTAGTGGTTGTAAGTTCTTAGCAAAGCATAAGAATGAGATTGCTTTGCTTTGTAGTGGAGCTTTACTGACAGCTAGTGATTAGATTGTTTCTACTTAAGTGTATCTATGCAAACATAGAGTGTGTGAGATCATGTTTCAGCTATTTGTAGGGTGACCAGAGCAAATGAATAATTATGTAACTGAATGTTCCTAATATTTGGAAACAGCCTTAGTATTTAGGAAACTAATTTGTTTAGTACATTTAAAATGTGAACAGTTGAGGGCTATTTTTAATAATTCATTTCAAGGATGTTTCCAGGGCTGCTACTCATAATAGATCTAATCTGGCAAAATTAAATTCCAGAGAATCAACGGCAAAGGAGAAATCTCAGGCTAAGAAGCCAGCGGCAGTCGGACAGCTGTGTGCTGAGCAGTGACGATGAAGATGAGCCAAGAGATAATGACGTGTTCGTAACAAACAAAGTGTCTCGAGACCTGGGACCACTGGAGGATGAAACTGCAAGTTCAAAGTATGTATTCGTTGCAACCTGATAAGCACTGAATTATTTTATACATATAGGACTAATAATATTTTTGACATCATAACTTATTCTAGATAGTTGCCCTTTTCAGGATCACATTCCAAATAATGCTAAAATAGGAATCAAAAGACAGAGAAGGACATACAATTACACATACAGCCTTCAAGATGAATGTGGGGGTGTGGCAGGGAAGAAATATTAGAAAGGCCGTATTAGTCACAGGCCGTAGTTCATAATATATTGCTTCTCCTTTTCACCCAAAAGCCTGGCAGTGGTGTTAAACACACAGATACTTTTGTTAGTGTAGATAAGGCTTGGTAAGGGAGAACAGCAGGCTGCATCCTGGCAAATTCCAGTAAATGCTCATGACATATGTACTGCTTTTGTACACATCATGTCTAGTAACTGCCCCTTGGTCCTGGAGCAGTAAGAGAGCTTCCCAAAGTGTATTTGCACACTGAGTGTGCAGATCTTGCTGCTAAGGTTTTGCTTTTGTCATGGAGCTCTTGCACATTTGTACGTGAGATGGGTATCTCGCTGTCTGCTGCAGCTGCCTGCAGAGTAAGGACTGTATTATGAAGAGAAACAGTAAATTCCTGGTGCAGAAATATTCCACGATGTTAAGAAACACAAGGTGTGTGAGACTCATTAAGTGAAATGCGGTGTGTGTGTGACTAGGGAAGGCAAAGTGATATAAACACCATTAAAGTGTTTGAAAAGATAAAAAATTTAATGATTCTAATGTAGACCTTTTGCCTAGCTCACTGGCAGCATTATTCTGTACTCCAGACCACCTTATAGTGTTACTGTTAAATGACTGTCTCTGGCAGTAAAGTAGGTTTTGAATTTCAAGTGGTATATGGCATTGAGAGACTGCAGTGTAAATGTTCCCAGTGTCACAGTGAAGCTCTGCTTTAGGGTTTCTGCAACTTCTAGCTATCACTTAAAGACTTCTCGATTGTTTTCAAGACAGTATAGAGAAGCACTTGGATATGGCTTTTTTTTTTTCTTTTTTTGACCCATCCTTAAATAAAGAGTTTAAGAACTTTATGGCTGCTAAGTGCCTGTAGCATTTTGAAATGTAGTGGGTTTAGTTGATAGACTTCCAGATTTCATATTTTTTATCTTTAAATGTATAGATAAGTGAATGAAAATGCTTAGTCGATGTAAAGATTCAGTGTCTTGTTACATCAGTCTCAAGCTTCTGTTGAAGGGGCTGCTGCTCTGTTTAGGTGAGGCTAGAACAGCTCAGTGCTGTTCCACTTAATGCTGACAGAGGAAGTACTGATCATGACAGTGCAGTGTTAGGCTACAGAATTAAATGAGACTTGAGCACGCAGAGGTTGTCACCAGTTGTCATTAATCATTGAGCCTGCTTTGCACGTGCTCTTTATGCTGCTGCATAAAGAATTTCAGTAGTGAAAATAGGGAAATTAAAGTTAAAATTGCATATGTGAGCCTAGGTAGACTTCAGTAGTACTCACTGACCTAATTTTAAGGGACAAAAGTTGAATTTTTACTCTTAATAAAAAATTACACAGTGGTGTTTGGCATGGGAGATAACATGGTAAAGCTTAGGCCAGCAGGAGCACTGGTGCTCATGGCAAGGGCCCATGGAAGCAGCTTGCAATTACCACTTAAAATAGGGTTAAAAGTGGCAGGACGCTCTCGTTCTTTCTGATACAAAGCAGAGTTTAGCACTTGCAGTTTGGTGTATTCCTTTAATGATGTCTATACGGAGCCTGCCGTCAGGAGGGTGTCTGACTCAGCATGGTAGCAGCCCCTGCCTTCTCTGAGCTGGGAATTAATTTTTGGAAGCTTCCTCATGCCACTGTGTTCTCACCTGCACGGTCCTGCTCTCTGAGCTGGGCTAGCTGCAGGGTTCCCAGGATAAAGGCATCTTGAGACCCCTGTCCCTAAACCTGCTGCTGTGCTCAGGAGTGGCGCTGGCAGGTCTGTGCAGAACTCTTGGGCTGACTTCAGGTATGAATTAGTTAAACTGACAGTTGGCAGCTGTAATATAGAAGTCATTTGTAGCTCAGCTCTGCTGGCAAACTCTGCAGAATTTTATTTCCAGCATGCACAGCATTCCGAATATAGCAAAAAACTTAACTAGGCAAGCGTAAATTAGTGAAGGTACAGACAGTGTGGGGCAGGGGAGAGTTATGTGTTAGACTTGCCAAAGTGTAATTTCTAGTGTAACACAGAACCTTTGATTTCTTCTAATGTTTGATCACTGAGTTAAAACTTAAAACTTCGATATAATTGTTTTTCTACAAACTGCATCTTCGTCCTTGTTCCCCTTCAACGTAGTAGCTGAATGAAAACTGAAGGGCAGTTTTCCTTAGCTAGGGAGACCCTAACTGCTTATTAAATGCAACAAACAGAGTTAAAGGTGCACAGGGACCTTCAAGTCAGCCAGGTCATGTTTTTCTATAGAATCCAGTGGTTGCTTTACATTCTGTATGTCAGAAATTCTCAGTAAGCTGCAGAATTAATACATGTCTGTTCTTGTTGTCTTTTCTCCCACAAGGCCTTCAGGTACCGTTAGCTGTCCCATTTGCATGGATGGCTACTCGGAGGTAAGGGCCGGGGCTGTCTGTGGGAGGGGGCCACGCTGTGCACACGTTGGGGAAAGCACAAACAGCTGCCTCCAAGGTCCAGCCTTGGCTTCAAGGCCTAAGGATTTGCAATGTGGTCACTTAATAGTGTCCAGGAATGGAAGGCACTTTCCAAGATGTTATTGAAAGATTTGAGTTCCCTGTTTTGGATATGTGCATGCTTACACACCCTCCAAGTGATGCTATGGCCATCTGCCTGCTAGGAATGGACCAGCTCGGCTCTCATAGCAAATAGCTGCTGTGGTTGCTTTTCTTCCAGATTGTGCAGAGCGGGCGGCTCATTGTGTCAACCAAGTGCGGCCACGTCTTCTGCAGCCAGTGCCTCCGAGATTCCCTTAGGAATGCCAACTCCTGCCCCACCTGCAGGAAAAAACTCACTCACAGACAGTATCATCCAATTTATATATGAGTACTGCTATTTCTCAGGACAGACTCAACTGGAATTTTGGGGGAAAAAAGTCGTGTTTTCAGTACTCTGAAGATTTAAGGAGCAACAGGTTGTACACGCATCCAAATGTAATAAAACAGATTTTTTTGAGAGTAACTTGTACATATATAAACAGCTTTTTTTATGGTCCAAGCTGCTTCTTGTTATGTCACTGGTTATGTTAAATTCGACTGTCTGTAAACTAGACCAGCAGCCTATATCAGAAATGAAGCAGCCAGTCCACTTCCTTCTACTTTTTTAATGCTTGAATAAGAGGGGTCTGAATATTTTGTTATTTCTTACTCTTCAGATTGCTCCCATCATCACACACAGATATGGAATATTTATCTTTCAAACAGATAACACCTTGCAGTTTCATTGTACTTCCATTTTTATCGTGTCTCATGCTCATTCCATATTGCTTTTTGTTAAATCATCTTTGCCCACATAGTATAAGTTCTGTAGCAATTGAATATTTAATCATCAATCACTATTGAACTGACAACCAGGGTAATGCAATAAAGTAACCTGCTGTTAACCAGCAGCTGGGGTTTTTTTAAGCAGATGGCTTGAACATGTCGATGTCTATGAACTCCATGAGATGTAAAGTGCAGAGCCATATCACAACATGTACAATGTGAAAATATTTCTTGGAATATTTTAACTGCTAAGATTCTCTCATTGGAATTACAATACTGAGTTTATTGTCTAACATGATGAAATGGTCTCTTGGGTTTACTGTTGTTCTGTAGCTCGCTCTCCTTATAACTGAGGAGAAAATAGTCTTCTCCAGGCTTGCTCGTGATGAATAAGCAGCAAATTGTATCCTTTGCTTTTGTCAGCTGAATACCAAACTACATAGCAGATGATTTTACCCTATCAGGTGTACCCAGCGCAATGCTTAAGGCTCCGTGTGTTCACTTGACTCTTTCCTTCAGTCACTCTACTGACACCTGACTGGTTTTAGCCTGGTGTATAGGCTTAATAATTGCATTACCAGAAATTTTAAAAAAATGAGGCTTTGAATGATAGTTTGAATGATAATTTGGTAGTAATGTTGACTTGGAAGCTTTTTGAAAGAGAAGTTTAATCTCCCTTTGCCCCAGAAGTTAAAATGTGTGTCTCTAATTGGAAAAAAAAGTCAACTACATAACTTGGGTGAGAATTGGGCCGCTAAAACAAAGCAGGCTTATGCACTGGTACCAGTTAACTATTTTTTTCCCTCCAGGGCTGAATTCTAAGTGTCTCTTCTAAACCTGTTGTGGCACAAATCCCCAAGCTGATGGGGAGACCCCAATGGGCCAACACAAAACAGGATTATAATAATTAAATGTAGGTGAGATGATTAAAACCAGTATTTTATGGTCCACATATGTAGTAGCAGCATTTGTGGAAGTTGAAATTCAGTCTGGAAAACAGTCCAAAATTAAACTGCCACTTTTGCAAATTGGTTGAAGATGAAGGCCATTAGATAGTGTGCCTGTGCTCAGTGCAACACACCTGTGGGATGCCTTTAGTTAACCTTGCTGATATCTGCTATATTGTGGCTGAATTTGCCTAGGGTTTGGTAGGAAGCCTTTAATGAAAATTTTCTGATTAGCTGTTTCAAACTCTCGACTGATGATTGAGCCCAGGTGTGAATTTCAATCTACAGGGGTGTTTCTGGGTGTAGTAGTGCAGGAAGGTCTCGTTCCTTAGAGGGCAGCCCAAGAAATGCAGCATTTCGCACCCAGCTCTGGGCAGCTTGGGCTTAGCCTTGTTACCACGGAAGGGCAGGCTCTGCATGCGAGCCGTTCAAGACAGAAATGTTCAGGAGCCCTGTGCTTCCCTTTGGCCGTGTAAGCTAGAGGCAAATGAAGTCTTAAAATTAGTCTTAAAATAGGACTGTGACAATGCAGGCTGTGAGTTGTGTCCCAAAAAGATGATAAAACTTAGTACTAAAGATTGCTTAAACCATGTGAAGAGAAGCAGCCAGATGTAAAACTGCCTAGATATTTAAGGGCCACGGAAACATGTTCTCCCACCAGCTGGGGGCTGAAAAAAAGAAAAAGGAAAAAAGCCCCCCAGCTTCTGGCCAGTTTTCCTGAGGAGGCTACGTACCATAGGGAAGGTGAGATTTAAGGGGTTACGTCTGGGGGGACCGTGGGGAACATGTTCCTACATCTCCGTGTACTAACTGTAGCCTCAAGTGACTTTGCACAATTCCCTCCATGTAAATATCACTTTATAGTTTGGGTCTCAATAAATGTCTTAGATATCACAAACTATAAAATACTGAAGGAAAAAAAAAATTTTAGGTTTGTGTACCCTGTGAAGTGCCACAAATTTTGTGCATCTCAAAACAAATTTTAAGCTCTCAGTATGACAAGGAAAAATGCTACCATTGCATTATATGTTTATAAAAAGCAAAGACAATATACTTGATTTCCAGTGATGTTTTAGTATAACAGATGACATTGACAAGAACCGATAGATAATATAAAGATTTTTTTCATTATGTAAATGTATGTCTTGCTGTATATAGTTCAATTTTTCCTGTATTTAATTGTATTCATGTCTGTACGTCACATCTATGTTGGACTCTACCAGTAGGCAAACAATTCTTTTAACAGGTGCAAATAAAACTATTAATTTGATGAAGTGGAAGTTCTCTTTCTTTTCCTCACCCTGTAGCAGCTGTGGGAGGGAGGAATTCCTATTGCAGCAAGGCTTTGGCGTTCATGTGGTCGTGGATGTGCAGGGGCCGTGGGCCAATGCTGCTGGGGGAGCAGGTGAGCGGCTCCGGGGGGGAATGGGGTGAGGGCAGGCGCCTAAGGGTGGGAGCTGGGGCTCGTGACTGATAGAGGTTGTTTTGGAGATGTGCAGGGTGCTGTGATGTCCATTGCTGCCTAGTTGTTGGCTCTGTTTTTGTTGTAGCTACACCTCAGTGGAGGAACCAGCGTGCTGGAGAGGAGGATGAGCGTGTCAAGCGGAGAGCCAGGCCTGTGAGCGTGTGAGCATCGGGCCCCAAGCTTTTGTCAAGTTCTCCACCTTGCAGAGAAGAAAGAAAGTGTCCAGGCTGGCCGTTTATATGTGTAAGCAATTTCTAGAGCGTGTTAACGAGGATGAGCTGTATGCACCGCATTGCATCAGAGCCCTCCTTGGTATTTATTCAGCTGGCCTTAAATGTGTCATGATGGACCTGAACAGCTGTCATGTAAATGTATAATTTGGAATTATGTTGCTGCTAATAAAACCCGTTAGGTGTGTATGGCTGCTATTGATCTCCCCCTGCAGTGGAGTGATGCCTTTCAGCATCTTCTAATTGCAGTTTTCTTCTCGCTCCCCAGCCCATCCTGGCTGTGGCTCTGCCAGCAGGCAGATGCTCTGACTTTCTATGCAGGCGAGTAAATACATTACGTATTGGGTAACCTTTCATGCTGAGTGTTTCCTGTAGGGCTCTCTTCTGACCAAAGATGACTGGGGAGCTCATGTGAAATGCTGCTGTCACCTGCAGGTGATGATTTGCAGCTTTAGTGTGCGAGGAATCTTGCTTCTCGCTGTTAAATTCCAGCCTCTCTGAACTGTTGGAGGCAATAAGGAGGAGAAAAAAAAATGAAGCTGAAGGAAAAAATCATGCCTATTTAGCTTTTTGTTTGTTTTTTCACAATGAACTGTGGCAACCTGTAAGCTTCTGAACTGTTGCTTGATCCCAAACTATTATGGTTATTTTTGTTTAGTTTGGCTTCTGTATGAAGGTGCTTTGGAATAATAGAGCTGACCTCCTCTCCCACGAGGCTCTTCAGAAAGCTCCCTGTGTCGGTTCTCCACTGGACACGACCCAGTGCAAGAGGTCTTCTGCTTCCCACGTCCACCAGCTCCTCCTGCCTCTGCTGAAACCGGTCTGACCTGACTTCTGAGCTGCTCTGAGGGGCCTTGTTGCTTCAGTGGAACCCTCTCCACTCAAAATAGCAGATCCCTTGGAGGAAAATTGTGACTCGCCACCAGCTTTGGCACTGCTGTGGAGTGAAACCGGTAGGCATCACGAGACACTTTAGGGCTGTTTCAGGTTCTGCTTTTGGAGCAAGGAAAGGGGCAGTGTGAAATCCAAGCCAGATAAGCTGGGCAAGCTGAAGTAGCTCTCACTCGAGGACCATTAACAGTGAAAACCCTTAGGATTTCCATCATGTTCTTTCAGAAGTCCCGAATGCTGCTGTGTTTCCTCTCTGAGGGTCCTGCGGAGGCAGGAGGGACAGGAGCATCTCGTCTTGGGCTTCCCAGGGGAAAAGATGGGCATTTCTGCTGAGGAGAATCTGTTATGCTGTGCCCAGGTGTAGCCTGGGGGCTCTTTTCCCTGACCCCTTTCTCTTGGAAGGAATCCTACCAGCCCCTATTGTGCTATATAAATCTGTATGAATCCTGTTGTTGAGGATGTGTAGCATAAATGTCCTGTGACCCTGGCTTACAGGGGAGAAGAAACACCATTATTTTGTATTATATGTAAAATCTACTATATTTATACTACCTCCCATGTAGCTCTTCTTGCATCTCTTGATTTGCAACTCCATGACAAGTGGGCACTTCATAACGGGCCTGATTAAGAGCACACAGATGCCGGTGGAAAGCAATCCGTAAATTAGGCCTTAAGCTCCGGCCGTTGTGAGGAGGAGGAGGTGCCGTCCTGAGGGCTCCTTCCTCACCAGCCCCTCCATAAATCCCACACGAAGGTGCCCTCGCTGCAGGGTCGGGATGAAGCTGTGGCTCTCCTGGGGGCCGCAGCCCCCACACGATTTCCCCATAATGATTTATTAGTGACCTGGAGGATCATAGCTTATTTCTAACTAATTCAGCAATCAAAATGTTCAACGTGCTTCGTGCCTATGTTTGTGCCTGCTTTCCTCCTTCCCTCTGCAGTGCCCACAGATGAATTTTTAAAGTTGCCTAAGGTGAAGGTTTAAGTCATTTACTTAACAAGGCTCTTTAAGAGCTGCTTTTCCAACCTGCCGAATTGCAGGATGGTTCTAATTTGTTGACGTTTCCCAGCAATTAAGAAAGCGGCTGCTGCAGCTCGGAGCAGGAGCATCCCGCGGCATGGAGCGCCCGGATCAGGCCCATGGTGCCGGAGCCGCTCGGAGCGACGGGGTGGTGACGGAGCCACCTCCAACGCAGGCGTCTGCCTAGCAGCAGCGCTTGGAAAAGCTGCTCCCGAGTCCCTTCCCTTCCAGCACGTGTTTGGAGTCTCCCAAAGGTCTCTCTTGGCCTGTTTTCCAGCTGTGCCAAGGGAATCACAGCATCTTGGGAATGGAAAGGAAGACGGATGGTTTCAGCTGGTGTTACAGGCAGGGAAGGATAAGCTCAACACGCTGCTGTCTATGTGATACGTGGTGGGTTTAACTCAGCATCCCTACCTGGCCAAAGTGCAGGATTTTAGGGGCCTAAAAGGGGCCGGTTGAGCCTTGGCGAGTCCTCAGCCCCGGGCTCAGCGGGTGCTCCGCTCCCGCAGCGCCCCCGGCCGCGTCCCCCTGCCCGTGGGTGGCACCGAGGTGGCCGTGCCCCCACACGGGCATTGAGCACCAGCAGCAGAACTCCCCCACAAACGAGCATCTTTCTAAGTAGCCTGTGGTTTTTTTCTGTGCCTTGAGCAATTTGGAGAAATTAGTGCCAAACAGCAAATTTTGTCAGTGTTGTGAATAATTACACAGGCAATTATTAAACGCTCGTTATTGAATCAGATCATAAAGCTGGCAATTTTTGTTTAAGCCGCATGCTGATAGCGCTGCGGATGCCAGGAGGAAAATAACGGAGGTGATTAGGGATTCAAGTGGAACATATGGAAGGAGGCTGACTTTTATTTAGCCTAACAAGGGACCTGTTAGACAGGATTTAACTAACGTATTTAGTGTGTTAAAGTATATTGCAATGACGGGCCCTTTGTGGAAGGGAAGGGATCGCTCAAGGTTAATGGCTAGCAGTAAAACAGGCTGCTGTGGCTCTTCTTCAGCTGCGAGCGAGGTTTTCTTAGAAGTCATTGGTCACAAAGTACCTCAGCCCTGGTATTACTTGACCAAGGGAAGGAGGGTGAATAGATCAGCAGCAAAAATATATAACTCATAGAGGTCAGATTCAAATTAGCACCGAATGTAGTGAAAATGTATGTAAGGAAAATGCAGAAGGCCCCTGCGCTGCCTTTTCCTTCCCAGGCAGCGTGGAGGTGAAGAGCTGCCGGGAGGCCGAGTCTGGGGCCAGCGAGACGCGCTGGAGTTCGGAGACGGAGGAGCGAGTCCGTGAGGAGGTGGCCGCAGTGTGGAGAGCCGCAGAGCACCGAGCACCTCGTAATGCGGATTGCAGCCAGCAGCGACGTAGGGAGGGGAATTAAGTAACTTTGGAGAGTGCTGGAGCGCTTACGGGACGCTGGAGCGCTTAGTGGCTTCCGTGGCGCTTCCAGAGAGGCTGCGTCGCGGCCGCGGGGCGGGAGAGGAGGCAGCGCCAGCAGCAGCACCCGCTGGCCCGCGGTCCCGTCCACACCGAGCCCCTGCCGGGCCGTCCTTTGAGCCAGGGCACTCGGGAGCAGCCTGGCTGGCCCTTGTTTTACTGTCTTTCTGCCGTCGTGGTGCTGAGCGTGCCGCGGCCCCACGAGTGGCAGCGGGTTTTATTACAGCTCCTTCAAGAAGTCTGGCATTTGCCACACTCAGGCGGTGGAAAAGGGGATGGAAAACTGTTCTGACCCGGCTGGACAGCGCTCGGGTACCTGTCGTTTCGGTAGCACTGCTACTGCTCTTGGGTTGATGGGTAACACCTTGAAACACTGTCCAGCAAGGGTAGATTTCAATGTCTGACAGAAATGAGGCACGTGAGATCCAAGCGGACTGTTCAAGCTTAGGGTTTTCATATCAGACTCACCCAAAGGGAAAGCAGGAAGATGCACGTCATCTTTTTTGTTCGTTTTCTGAGGAGGCCAAGAGAAATTCATCTGCTCCACCAAGCCTCCATCGCCTGCAAAACCAAGAGGGGATAGGAAACTTCGAGCTCACTGAGGTCAGCAGAAAGATTCCAGTGAGGATGAATCAAGCTTAAACTAAATGTGGTTTCATTTTGTGGTAAACCTCTGGAGAAGAAATCCCAGGGAGAGGTTAAAAGGAGAGAATGATTTTCCTGGGATGTCCCGAGGCGGCCAAGCAGGGGCAGCCGCTGTGTCCACGTCAAGCCCTGCTCCAAGGAACAGTTGCCGTGGCAGGTGGGGAACCTAAAAGTTGGAGTCTTTGTTGGGTAACAGCAGGCACTAACGATATTTGTCACCACTACTGTGGACGGCAGTACTAAATGAGGATTAAGTGATTAATTTGGGTGTTTACAATATATGTCCAATGC